CGTGAAGCCTTGAAATGAATTTCACTCTCCCTTTCTCTTGCAATCTCCTTCGAAAAGTGACAGTGATTTCAAGGGTTTTATTTTCATTCTACTCGTCATTAAATGCGTATACCTGCATTTTCGTGAACCTGTATTGCCCAGGATAGCGGTTATTCTATTAAAATGGAATTCAAATTAGTTGCAATGACTCGAATATATAATAATATGTATTAGAGATGTGTACCGCTGCATCTACAAAACAAGACAGGACTGGTCGTCTCATCGTAGCTGAAAACATTTTTTTCTCATATTTCTTTAAGAAAAATTGATGTTTCATTTATCAACATTTACGTATAAATTGAAAAAAAGTAGGAAAGGATATTTTATTTGACAAGATGTAATCCGATATTTCAATTTGCGCAACTTTAAAGTTTAAGGTCAATTTAAATCTTATACTCGTCACAATGAAACTGACAAATTTTTCTATTAGGTTGATTTCATATCAGGCGAATTTTGCATCAACATTGATCTCGATTATATTTATGTGTTTAACAAATGAGTATCAGTATGAAGTAATCATACTACTGGTACCAGTAGAGAGGCGGGGCGGTGTACATCTGCTATACACTATCGAATAATATTCGTACAACGTTAAGCAACGTAAGATTCTGGTAATTCAAAGTTGCAGCATGTTTTCTTTTTCCATTCATTTATACATGCTTGAAGGGAGCATGTTAAGAAAATCTGCAATTTAATTTTTTAATAAGGTTTTTTGATAGGGTAATATTGAAAACAATTCAAAGGGTTTAAAATTTCGAAAACGGTTCTTTTTTCAAAAAAGTTCAGTTTCTTTGCTCCATTCTTGTTTGAATTTTCGAGACTATTTTTTTTCTGATTCAGCATCAAAAAGCGAATCTAGCAAGACAAGCTTCATATTTTTGGGACAAGAAATGGTTTCAGCAGTGGTTAATCCGTAACAGGATCCTGAAGTGCTTCGTGCACATTTTCTAAACCTTTCTAGTTTTTGCATTTAGAATATGAAGCCACCATTTTTATCCCATAAGAACCGTCAGAAAACAAACTATAAAAGTAAGTGAAGCTTTTTTCAAAATTTTCTTTTATAGTTGAGATATTTCATGTTTACTGAAAAATTAGGCAGTTTTCTCCAATAAGGGCCTACTGATTTTTCGATAAAGTTCTCAGTTTTCATCAAAAGTCAATGTAAACAGAGTTTCATAGGTAAAAAACATCGTACAACTCGATGGAATCGCTTTCAAGATCTTTAAAGACGTCTCTGCGGGTTCTTCAGCAAACCAAATTACGATACAATATCGAATTTAGGTGTGTTTACGAGAAAAATCATTTAAACTTAAACACGTCTTCCTTGCATTGATAAATTAGAAAAGACATTCCTATGTCTTCTTCAAAAATGGGTCTAAAATAACCAAAATTAGTGCTTAATAGGTTTTTCGATGTGCTCTTTAATCTGAAGGGATCAAAAAACAGTTTTATTTTTAAGTGAAATTAAATTTCCAATGAACGAAGAATAAAACAATGAAAAACAGCTTTGAAAGTCAATCATAAAAGAGAAAATTCGAAATTCTGTAATATTTATGATATGAAAAAACAGATCACTCCAATTATTGATCCAATATTTGTCTGTCGTAAGTTTGTTGATGAAAAGTACTACCTGTATAGAGATCTCTTAATATTTGTCTATCTAAATAAGCAAAGTTATAGATTGTTGCTAATGTCTATGTAATAGATGTATTCGATGTTCTCCATTGGTGTTCCAAAGCACTACGATTTTTTAAATTTGGATCAGCTTTTTGATTTAGAACAAAGTTTGCAATTGGTTGATTGACTTTATAAGCACCAATTTGTTTTAGTGGATCTGCACTTGTTAATGCTTCATTAATCTCAGGAGCACCCCGATACCTCGGAGGCAGGGGGGGGGCAAAGTCAATTTCGGAGTAAATTTTTATGCTTTTAAAAATTGGAGTAAAAATAAAAAAACAAAGATAAATATTCTAAGCAGTTTTCTTCTAAAACAAGACTGACTTTCCTTCTATCTAACTCTATATACTTCAGCACAAAGCAAATTAAAGTAAAATGTGTCGTCCTGGTTTCATATCT